GACTAACAACACAAGAGCAGAGTTCACAGTTCTCCAAAGAGGTTACTAATCATTGTTCTTTGCACAAGTGACATTAGTGTTTGAGTAATGCAACAGACCACTCTCAGGTTGCCTACTATTTGTATGGGCGGCCAAAGTTTGTAAAAAAATCGCCCTTTGGTTGGTATTTGATTATACTTAGTAGTGCATGTATTATTATTTGGTGCTTGGACAGCTGCGTGGGATTTTCACATTTCTTAAATTATTCTTTTATTTTGTATCACTGAGGACTTGAAGATTTTGACCTACACACTGAAAACACATGCATGTCATGTACTTGCTTGAAAGACAATGCTACAAGCTCCAAACGGCAAAGCATCTACTTTGAAAACCTTATTGTTTATGATTGGTTCTTTGGTGAATAACTTGCAAATACCATATCATCTTCAGACAGACATATGTCTAACTGGACCTTGCAAAGAGGGTTGGAAGTCTGCATTTATCAATCAGTACGTGAATATCAAGATACTTTGCGGAAGAGACAGAAAAAAAGCTGGATATGCTCCACGCTATATAAATGCTCCTTAAATTATGCAGCCACTTAAAAAATTCTCATAAGACTCCTTTTGCTGCAGGAATGGGCACAGATGACATGCGGTGTGCTAGTTACCTGGTTCACATATGCAGTGGTGTGTGCTGCTTCCAGTGGGCAGACATTGTGCATTGTTCTGGCATGGCTCAGCTGAGCAGATGTCTAAAGCCGTCTCACAAAACTGTCCTGTGTAGCCTGGAGCACAGCGACAGGAATAACGGTTGGCCTGTGGGTAAGGACACAAACAACCACAGGGAATGGTCAGATCTGTGGAAAAAGGTGCTACAGCTGGGGGTCAGGCCAAAGCTCTACCTATGAGAGAGCAGAAAGAGGTAGGCCACAGAATTAAAACAAATGGGGATGAATGGTGTTTGAAATTTTCAAGAAAAGAAGTACGATGCAGTGTAACAAACAAAATCAGATAGATAGCCTTGCCTGCATTTGAGGGTTTGTGGGTTGTAATATTAATATTAAATATCCATGGTTCCTATGTTCAAAAAGTTCTCGATATACATGTATTGCTCAAGCCACAAAAAAATAGAGAAGACTTAAGAGGCGTGGGTGGACTTCAAGGGTTTTGAGAAAGATCAGGAAAGTACATTCTTTCCTAAATGTGAAACATACATGTAATAAGAATGGTGCTGAAAGCCCCCCCCAATATCTGGTTTTTGGTCAGCGCACATCGCCCTAGATCTGCGCGTCGGCAAATTAATTAGTTTTTCATTTGGCATAAACAATGTCCAAAAGCTGCCAAACTTGCTTAATCGACTGGAATCCTGCTACTTTCTAATTTTAACGTGTTTTGATGGGGTACAGTTGAGTAATATGTACGGTAAAGGAATCCCTTTAGTTCCTCATACATTGAGCTGAGTCCTCTTTTGCAGATGACATCATTTCTGTATTATATAGTTAGATCTGGGACCCAGACAAACAAGGTGGTCTTATGCCCTGTGTACATGTGGAAAATGCTTCAGTAAAAAGTGTAGGGGGCCAGTTTATTTTAGTGTTTGTAGCGGCTGGAGTTACCTGCATATGCAGTCGGGAGGGACATCGTGCGTCATACAGACATCATTTCCAGAAAAAAAAGGGAGGGTAAAAGACAAAAAGCCACGTCACCACACAACTCTTGAAACCAGCTCCTAACCAGAAACCAGAGACTTTTTTGGGGGGGCCTGGTATAAATGTTCATAAGTGAGCAATCAAAACGAGTTCCACTATATCAGGCCAAACAAAATAATAGTTGTGCTTCCTGCTTCATTGAAAAAAAAACCAGGTTGGGTAGGTGCGTGGTATCTTTCGTTTTTCTTCTATAGTTTTTAGGTCAAAAATATTAGGGTGGAGAATTTTTTTTATTGAAAAGTGATTTTGATGGTCTACAGTGAATTTCATCCACTGTTTTTTCTGCGGATTTGTTACTTCAGGATAGGTCTTGTCGGAGATTTTATCCCAGTCAGAGCCTCTTTGGACAATTATACATTTGTGTTGCCCTGAAATTTTGAAAAGTTAATGTCCAAATATTGTTTCATGGCTTGTACAAAATGATGCATGACACAACAACGTTGCATGCCCCATGCCAGTTGTCATGAAACCCTCCATCAGTGAATGCGAAGATGTACAAACTTTATTTCAGGCCGTAAATTCGCAGTGAAATGTGCTACCGCAAGTTATAGTCACTACTTCTACTTATGCAAGATCGGCTTTAATGAGTCCCACTGTCACACATGTACATGTATGTATGAATATTGATGCTTTGTTGGCAGCCAATCACAACCCAATGACTGGGTGGTCTCAGGATGCTGTTTACACACAGTGTTTGCAATTTGACCTGCACAAATATATATCACTGTATGCACTGTAAAATGTACATATATTTGCATTTTTATGTACAGTTGATTCAGTCACGTACATTAATTACAGTACTATAGCACTGTTTGCCATCCAAACAAGGATGTGTAATGTTTGGGCCAGGCCTTTGCATGAGCCGGTAGAAAAAGAAAGAAAACAAATAGAAAAATTGGCACTTAAGCAAGATAGAAAAATTAGGAAAATCTGGCCTGTCGATGGCAAAAAAGTGGAAAACGAATTCAGCATACTCAGCCTAAAAACCTGGAGATTTCACACTCCTGAAATAAGCAGAAGGGTGACAAAACACAATTTTGCTTGAGTTTACACAACCGGATTTCACAGTGAAATATGGGTCATGTCAGTTGTCCACAAGATACCATCTCACCTGATCAACACAGCTTGCTCCATGCAGACACTGATGGTTAACACAATCATCTATATTAGTCTGGCACAGTACTCCTTCAAACCCGGCCTGACACTGACACTCAAAGCCATTGGTAGTTGGGGTGCAATACCCACCGTGCCTGCAAGGATTGGGCTGACAGTAACCGGTGTCAATTTGGCACAGTGTACCTTTCGTACCG